ATATATATATATATATATATATATATATATATATATATATATATATATCTATAAATCTATATATATCTATATCTAGATATTTCATGTTTATAGATATACTGGCAATAATAATTTTATCCTGGATAAAATTTTATCCCGGATTGAAAAATTGGCCCTAAGTCTTAATTAATTAATTATTTTCTAATACAAAATTCATTTTCTGACTTCAAAGTTTTAATAATATTAGTTAAAAGAAATTTATTGAATCAATAAAAAGAGTTTTTTAGTTTGAAAATAAATACTCGAAAATTAAAATATTCTTTAATCGAATTAATTTTTGATTCCGTCTATCTTTTCTGTATTACACTTTTTAAATGATTATTGTTGATGTTTTCATGTTCGAAAAATTGAAAATTTAATCTAAATTATTCAATTCATTCGATGTTGATTAAACATACGTCCATAATTTTGATATTTTTTCTGCTTTATTCTGTTTTAGTTATTTTTTTTTTTAAATCATGTCCTTACCGAGTAATTAAGCGCATTATTAAGTACTTTTATACCGTCCATTTTAACATTTATTTTTATGACTGATAATCATTGAGGATTTCAAAAATTATTTGATTCAACATTTTTTTTTTGATTAAATTTTACACGTTAAACTATAAAACGCCCAATTAAATATTCATTTAGTTAATCTGTTTATGAAAAAAATTTTTTTTTTTTTAAAGAAAATAAACATTTAATAAAAACAGGAAACAAGAGGAAAGCAGTTAAAATAGTTAAACTTAACCCAGCAACTAAATTTATGATAATAATTATCTGTTTAATTTCCTGTCTTAAAACTTGATATTCGTAACAATTTCACCAGAACAAATCGAAAGTCATTTATTTTTTATTCACGTAATAAATTAATGTCTGAGTGAAAACATCGGAAGGATGCAATGAATTTAAGTGGCATTAATTTTTATCTGACTGAAGTCGAGTAAAGAGAGTACGAAGATGGTAATAAGCACGCATGGTAGTAAGTAGTATAGTAGTGTGTTTTATTACACCGACAAGGATCCACGTGTATTACTTACTTGAGGGAATTTATTCAAGACTGGCAGTCATCTTGACAAATGTTTAGACTAAGGTGTGCTAGTGGCAAACCAGACAGCAAAGCCCTCGAATAAACTATTATATATAAGAATTGGGTTACGCGTCATTTCCACTGAATCCTTTATACCCTTTTGTCACATGACAGCTTTCATCATTTTCCAACAATTGATCCTTTATCTTCAACAAGTAGCTGTCAAGATCCTGACTTTCATTTTTATCAATAAATTTGTATTGTTATTGTTATTAAATTTGTATTCCATTGTAAAAAAAATGTAATAAAAATTAATAGAAAAAAATATTTTTATTTTTATTTTACTCAGACAATTGTTCATTTGAAAATAAAAAATGTTATTAATTTTATAAAATTAGTTAGATATTCAGAGGCAAAATATTTTATTCTTTTAAAAGAAAATTTATTAAAGAGAAAAAAAACTTGTAATGTGTTTCATGTAAAATGAATAAATAATATTTTTCAATAAAAATAATTACACAAGTAATCTTGGTCGATTTTACTGTAAGGAAGATTATGTCAGCCCACAAACAACAGTGGAATATCGCGGAGTATGAATAAAGATACTTTTGAACTTCTGAGAGCCACACAACGATCGAGGGATTTTTTCCCTTTAAACTTCGAGTAGAGGTATTACTTGAATTGGAATTACTTTTCTCATTATGGTGCATCCAAGAGGAAAATCTTTTCCTTATTCCATTCTTACTTTTATAATTTACGCGGTAACGGACGAAAATGAAGACCGAGAGAAATTAAAGAACGTTAATCTTTGACAGTTGCTGCAGATTACTGTGTGCTCCTCGACGACTCCCGACCCTGCCATTACTTTATAAATTTTTATATCTACATTTTTTATTTATAAGCTCATTTACTTTTTTTCTTTTTCATATTATGACTTTTCAACTTATAAGTATTCGCAGGATCAATATATGCGCGTTCAATGATTTTATAATTTTATAATTAGAAAAATATTACCAGTCAATTTTAATTTCTATGAAAGTATATTTTTAATTTTCCTTTAATATTATTAAATCAATTAATGCGATTAATAGAAACCAATAAAGTTAAAGTTTTTGAAATACATTTTTATCAATTATTAGTAATGATTTATTACACACTAAAATTCAATTTTTATGACATTATGATTCTACATAACATCGAAATTTTAATTTGTATAGTCGATGATTATTTTTTAACTAACAAAAAAGTCTTTTGTTATAAATAGTACATTACATACCTAGGTTAGTAAAATGAGAAAAGTCTCATATCACATGTTTGTCAACCTCGGCTTCGCCTCGGCCAACAATTACATGTGATATGA